GAATTTTTGAAACTTTGTTTTGTAGTCTAATAGTAATATAATTTGTATTTGAGTACCAACAAGACTGTCAAAGAATATAAAAAAATAAAAAAATAAAAAATTTTTTTGCAATTTTAAATATTAAAAAATTTTTATCCAAATTTATTCAAATATTTGCCGATATACAAATAAAGATCTGTAATTTGATACCCAAATTTTTACGGGTCTAATACTATAGTATATCTTATATTGACATATATTTATATAATTAAATAAAAATAATTATACAAATATATTATAGAGATTTTTTAATAAAATTCTTTAAGTGCACACTCTCTATAAATGCATACTTGGGCCCAGTTTCAAGAGAGTGTATTTAGAGAGGTCTCTCTGTTCTAATTTTTAAAAGTTGTTCATTGTTGTTAGTTAAAAAAAAAAAAATTATTTTTAAAAAAAAGTAGTATTGTTATCTATATTGTTAAAATTGGGTTTATAAAAAAAAGATGATCTAGATTTAAATAAAAGTAAGCAAATGATCATATGATCAAAAGATATAAATAGAATAATAATCAATATAAATTATTTAAAAATAAAAATGTTATTAAAAGCTTTATGAGATATTTTTTTGATGAAGAAAAATTTATAAATTATTTATTAGAAAAGAGTGTTTTAAAAAGTAAACAGAAATATAATTTTTGTTCTTCAGAAATAACTCAATATATTACCATATATTTCCAAAAATAAGCTACTCCAAAAATAAGCTACTCCTCACTTTTGAGCCAAAAACATAAAATCTTCTCTTACTTGAAAATAAGCTAACCCAAATTTTTAACAGTTGTTATATATAAAAGTCAAATTTGTACTAAGTAAATCTGTATTTTTTAATTAATAAAAGTTTGTTCAGAATATAAAAATACACATATTCTGAAAGTTTTATACAATTTGAATAACTTTTTACTAGTCCAGTTTTGCATTTTAAATTTGAAGTTAAAATACAAAAGTGTATTAATAAAAAGTTATCCAAATTGTTTTAAAGTTTCAGAATAGATGTAGTTTAAAATTCTAAACAACTTTTATTAATTGGCAAATATAGATTTACTTAGTACAATTTTGACATATATATATAAACTACTTTTACTTAATAAAAAATAACCAAAAACCCCTCTTACTCAAAAATAAGCTACCTTTGAAATTTTTGTGTAATTTTTTGCCCAAAAATAGTAGCTTATTTTCAGAAATATATGGTAATTATTATAAATATAAAAATTAAAAATAGTTTCAATATTTAAAAATACTATATTTTTAAATAGTAAAATAAAATATTGTGATATTTTATTTATTGAATACTTGTGGTTATGTAAATTAAATTATACTTTAATTAGTATGATGCCAACTTTTTCTTCAGCTACAATTAGAAAGTTTACAAATTTATTTAAAGATTTAGAAATCTCTAAATTAAAAATTGATGATTTTATTATTGGTAAAAAAATATTATCTGTGAGATTGATAAATCAAAATTTAAAAAATATGAAGATTTTTGGGTGGTTGGTATAGTGGAAAGAACTAAAGAAAAAAATGTTTTTTTGTTATTGTGAAAAATCAAGAAGCTGTAACTTTAAAAAAATTATAAAGCAATATATAAGACCAAGATCAATAGTTTATAATAACTATTGGCATGATTATAGTTATTTAAAAGAATTAAATATGATTCATCATAGAGTAAATTATTCAAAAGTTCATAAAACTAGTGTATAATAATACTATAGAAGGAATCTGGTATAGCTTAAAATTAAATATATTATTAAGAAATTATTCAAAGTATTTATTAAAAAGCATCTTGATGAATTCTGCTAATGTCACAAATATAGAGAAAATTTATTTGAAGCTTTTATTAATTCATTAAAATAATCTTTTTATTAATAAAATACCAATTTATTTTTACAATTTAATATAAAATAATAAATTTGTTTAATGTATTTCTAAAAAAAAAAAAGCTGCAGCTGCAATATCTTTTTTTTAGTATAAGGAGCTTCCAGAAATTACATGATTTTGGGATAGGCGGGGTTCCCAAAATATCAGATTATAATTCTGGTTAAAATTTTATAATTCTAACTATAATTATAAAATTATATAATAATAAAATCTTTAAACTTGCATAGCTTTTGATTTACTAGTTCTATTTAGATGATTTAACTACCAAAATAATCCCCTCAATGAGAGAAGTTTAACAAGCCTAAAATCATTAAAATCCAATCACAGAATTACAAACTAGATACTATTTTGTATTATTTTATATATATTTAAATAATACAAAAAATTATTTATCTTGTCGATTCTGTAAATAGATTTTAATGATTTTGAACCTGTTGGAATCTTCTCTTTAAGAGGATCATTTTGGTAGTTAAATTACCTAAATAGGCCTCATAGATCAAAAGTTATTCAAGTTTAAAGATTTTATTATTATATAATTTTATAATTTTGGCCAGAATTATAAAATTATATAATAATAAAATCTTTAAATTTGAATAACCTTTGATCTACTAGGCCTATTTAGATAGTTTAACTACCAAAATAATCTTTTCAATGAGAGGATTTTAACAAGCCCAAAATCATTAAAATCCAATAACACTGTTACAAAATAAATAATATTTTGTATTATTTTATATATATCAAATAATACAAAAAATTATTTATCTTGTGATCTTGTGAATATATATTTTAATTCATCAAGAGTTATTAATCGAAAAGTTGGCCTCGATAACAACTAATCAATTTAAAACTTTTACAGCAACTAATTGTTGATTCTACCAAGAAAAAATCCTAATCAATTCTGCAATAAAATTAAAACTGCAATAAAAACATGGAATCAATCATAATAGTTTATCCAACTAATTTATTAGAAAGTTTTTAACAATTCGGATTACTATATTCAGCTACAAAAAATTCTTCTACATGACTCTGTATCCTAGTCCATATTTTTCAGGTTCTAGCAGTTCGTCAGCAACTGCTTTAACAATATTTGACAATTCTTTAGTAGCTTTTTCTTTATCATTTCCTGATGTCTCAAAATAGTATTTTATTTTTGGTTCTGTACCACTGTTTTTATGAAGAAAAAGTATAAAAAACATCGTTAGAATACAGGATATTAAGGTCACTGGTTTTAAGAAATATGAACCTGGTCCTTAAAGTTCCAATACATCCATTTTCCAGGCCGAATGTAATCATATGACTACTTTCTGAAACAGGTAATGCTGGTCTATTATCAGCTGTCGAGGTATCATAACCAATCGTCAAGTCTCTAATGTAAGTAATTTTATGATTTGCCAAAGTTGTAGGATATGAAAGCTTATATTTATATAGATACTGTTATAAATTTTATATAATGCTATAAATATTATAGAACAATGTTAAATTAGTGCACTAAAAAATATGTAAGATACTTGCATTGGGTTCTGTTGATTTTATCTAAATCGATAAATTATTTAGTAATCTTCTATTATTAAATAATTGAATTACGTAATAAATAAGTGTGTTATTATACGTTACCGGGTTTTCTCCATACCGAATTTTATCAAAAATCTTATTGATAGTAGGTAAAGAATGGCAGATAAAGTAAGAATTTTCTGTTACAAAATATCCATACCTATTACAAAAATATAAGTATTAATTATAATACAAAACTGATAGATAAAATATAGCTCTTTTATAAGAAGTGTAAATATACTTTTTATATAATTCATCTAAATATTCTGTAATACTTATTCCTCGTTTATCTAATTGTACAACTAATTCTGCAAAAGTCCCTAAAGCACTTATACCATCTTTATCTCTAACAGTATCTCCAATCATGAATCCAATTGCTTCTTCATATGCAAATAATACTTCATAACCTTTTTTTACCAGATCAATCGCTACATTGCCTAACCATTTAAATCCTGTTAAAGTTTCTTCAAAATAAAATCCTTCAATCTTTGCAATTTTGGCCAACATTTTTGATGATACAGCAGATGATAACATTGCTAATTTTTCTGAATGTTTTATAAACATATTAATAAAATTTTAATTTTGTAGGATTATTAATATAATTTAATGCTCACCTAGTGGATTACCACTGGCTTTATAATTATTTAGTACAATGGATGCAAGCATTACACCTATTTGATTACCCGAAAAGATTGTCCAGTTACCACTATTGTCATAATGTAAAATTTCTGTTATTATTTTACTATACTGTTGGTTATTAATCAAGATAATGAATATATGTGATTAACTTTTTTTGTTTTTCCGAAACTGAAAATCTATCAGCGTCAGGGTCATTTGCCAATACAATACGTGCACCAACTTCATTGGCAGTTTTTATGGCAAGTGCCTAAACAAAACAAATAATTCGAATATATAAAAATGTTTCTATTTATCCCTTAAACCATTTTAATTTCAGTACATATTTAACTATAAAAATGCTTCGAATTTATTTTTTTAAAAAAATTTATATAATTAAATAAAAATTTTTTTTATATTTTAGTAAAATTTTTATTTAAATTATAAAGTAAAAAATTTAAATTGTATATATATCAAAAATATATAAATTTAAAAATTTTCTTAATTAAAAAAAAATAATTTATATTTTTTAAAAACAAATATGGTATAGATTTGCATTGATCTATAAATATCTAATTTTATTGTATCTTGTGATCTGGTGATCCAAATTTGATAATTTTGATACCATTCGAACCATCTTATCAAGACGAATTGAATGATATCATAATTGTTAAATTCTAGTCACAGAATCACAAAATATGAATAAAAATAGAACTTTAAAAAAATTTCAGTACAAATTTGTACGAGAAATGGTTTAAGGGATAAGCCAAAAAAGAAATTGATAACGTACCAATGTTCCTGTAACGTGGTTGAATTAGTACAAAATATTGAGATTAAAGTGATTTGCATAAGACCAAATAATATGTGACTCTATCTCACTACCTTTTCCCTCTTCAGGATTAGGAAATGTTACTGTCAGAAAATCTGGATCTGGATCAGCTTGTTCCTTGGTAAGGATAAATGGTTTTAAAGAAAACGTTTCAAATATTCTCTTTGCTGCTGGGGTTCCAACCCCATGCAAGGCTGTGTAAACAAATTTGAGAGTTGATGCCGCATTATCTTCTCTAACGTAGATAACATTCAAAATTAATGTACGATATGAAATATAAAACAATCACATAGATAAAATTAGATAATTACCGATGACGCGATAATACCTTCAACTCTCCAAAATAAGCATCAGAGATTTTGTTTATATTGTCAACACATAATTCATTATTATCGACAAATTTAGAGTCCCATATCCAGGGTTCAAGATTATTGCTAATCGCATTACTAATGCCTTCGTCGTGTGGTGGAATGATCTAAATGTTGTAGTAAAATGTAAATATAATAAAAATCATGCATACATAAATTAAATAAACATATTGACGGATACTATTAAAAAGTTTAAAATATTTGACAAAGAATAACTTTTGATCCACTCGTTCATTCTAGATAATTTTATCATCAAACAGACACAGGAGGAAACGTCCAAATATAGATATGATTTTCATTCTCCATTACACAGATCACTCATTGTATCGACCAGTCAAA